CAAATCCAGAAGAAGAAGAAGATATTCTCCGACAATGGAACTCTGTTAACATCAATTTCTGTTCTTGGACCGGTGTTACATGCGACGATACCGGTTTATTCCCTGTCGTTATCGGTTTAAATCTTTCCGGTTTAGGATTAACCGGTTCGATTTCACCTTCTTTTGGCCGGTTTAACAACCTAATCCACCTTGATCTATCTTCCAACAATCTTGTGGGTCCCATACCAACTGCTCTCTCCAACCTGTCTTCTTTGGAGTCTCTGTTTCTCTTTTCTAACCAACTCTCCGGCGAGATTCCGAGTCAGCTCGGCTCGCTCGTTAATCTCCGATCGCTCAGGATCGGAGATAACGAGCTAGTCGGTACCATCCCGGAGTCGTTTGGGAATCTTGTCAATCTCCAAATGCTTGCTCTGGCTTCTTGTAGACTCACTGGTCCTATACCGAATCAACTCGGTCGACTTGTACGGATTCAATCACTTATACTGCAAGATAACAATCTCGAAGGACCGATTCCGGCGGATTTAGGAAACTGTTCTGATCTCACCGTGTTCACCGCGGCAGAAAACAAGCTCAATGGGACGATACCGGCGGATTTAGGACGGCTCGAAAACCTCGAGATACTTAATTTGGCGAGCAACGGTTTATCGGGAGATATACCGAGTCAGCTCGGTGAACTGAGCCAGCTGAACTACCTTAGCTTGATGGGAAACCAGCTTCAAGGTCTTATCCCCAAGAGTTTGGCTGATCTTAGAAATCTCGAAACACTTGATTTATCGGCAAATAATCTTACCGGCGAGATACCCGAAGAGCTTTGGAACATGAGTCAGCTCGTCGACATGGTTTTAGCAAACAACCATCTCTCTGGTTCTTTGTCAAAGAGTATATGTTCGAACAACACAAACTTGGAGCAATTGGTTCTGTCTGGAACTCAGCTTTCAGGTGAAATTCCGGTGGAGCTTAGCAAATGTCAATCGCTTAAACAGCTCGATTTGTCAAACAATTCGCTTGCTGGCTCAATCCCTGAGGCGTTATTCGAGCTAGTCGAACTCACGGATCTTTATCTCCACAACAATACCTTGGAAGGCACTTTATCTACTTCGATATCGAACCTCACAAATCTACAATGGCTTGTGTTGTATCATAACAACTTGGAAGGGAAGTTACCGAAGGAGATCAGCGCGTTGAAGAAGCTAGAGGTTCTGTATCTTTATGAGAATCGTTTCTCAGGCGAAATCCCAAAAGAGATTGGAAACTGCACAAAGTTAAAGATGATTGATCTGTTCGGGAATCATTTCGAAGGAGAGATTCCTACTACAATAGGAAGATTAAAGGAGCTTAACCTGCTTCACTTGAGACAGAACGAGCTCGCGGGTGGACTTCCCGCCACTTTAGGTAACTGTCACCAACTGAAAATCTTGGATTTGGCGGATAATCAGCTCTCGGGATCGATTCCTTCGTCCTTTGGGTTCATAAAGGGATTAGAACAGTTCATGCTTTACAACAATTCTCTCCAAGGAAGTCTTCCTGATTCACTTACCAATCTGAAGAACCTCACCAGAATCAATCTCTCACACAACAAGCTCAACGGTACAATTCTTCCGTTGTGTGGTTCGAGCTCGTTTCTATCGTTTGATGTAACCAACAACGAGTTTGAGGATGAAATCCCTCTCCAGCTAGGAAACTCTCCAAATCTTGATCGTCTCAGATTAGGGAAGAATCAGTTCACAGGAAAAATCCCTTGGACGTTAGGGAAAATCCGCGAGCTATCTCTGTTGGATATCTCGAGCAATTCGCTCACTGGAACCATTCCGCTACAGCTTGTCTTGTGCAAGAAACTAACACACATGGATCTCAACAACAACTTTCTTTCAGGTCCTATACCTCCATGGCTTGGAAAGCTTTCACAGTTAGGAGAACTCAAGCTTTCTTCTAATCAGTTTGTTGGGTCTTTACCTACTGAGCTGTTCAACTGTACAAAGCTGCTTGTGTTATCTCTTGATGGAAATTCGCTTAACGGGTCGATCCCGCAAGAGATTGGTAACTTGGGAGCTCTCAATGTCCTTAACCTCGATAAGAACCAGTTTTCAAGTTCACTACCTCAAGCTATGGGCAAGCTTAGCAAGTTATACGAGCTTCGGTTATCGAGAAACAGCTTAACAGGAGAAATCCCAGTTGAGATTGGACAGCTTCAAGATCTTCAAAGTGCTTTAGACCTCAGCTACAATAACTTTACCGGAGATATACCTTCTACGATCGGGACATTACTGAAGCTGGAAACTCTTGATCTGTCTCACAATCAGTTGACCGGGGAAGTTCCTGGCGCGGTAGGGGACATGAAGAGTTTGGGGTATCTCAATCTCTCTTTCAATAACTTCGAAGGTAAACTCAAGAAACAGTTCTCGAGATGGCCAGCTGATTCCTTTATAGGCAACACAGGTCTCTGTGGAAGTCCTCTTAGTCACTGCAACAAAGCTGGAAGAGACAACAAGCAACAAGGTCTTAGTGCAAGATCAGTAGTTATTATATCAGCAATGTCAGCGTTGGCAGCGATTGCTTTGATGATACTTGTAATCGCTCTCTTCTTCAAACAAAGACATGATTTCTTCAAGAGAGTGCGCGATGGAAGCTCTCCGTACTCATCGTCAAGCTCTTCTTCACAAGCTACACACAAGCCTCTCTTTCGAACAGGAGCAGCAGCTTCAAAGTCAGATATTAAGTGGGAAGACATTATGGAGGCCACGAATAATCTAAGCGAGGAATTCATGATTGGATCAGGAGGCTCAGGGAAGATTTACAAGGTGGAGCTTGAGAATGGTGAGACTGTTGCTGTGAAAAAGATTCTTTGGAAAGATGATCTCATGTCGAACAAGAGCTTCAGCAGAGAAGTTAAGACGCTTGGAAGAATCAGACATAGGCATCTTGTTAAGCTGATGGGTTACTGCAGCAGCAAGTCAGAAGGATTGAATCTGTTGATATATGAATACATGAAGAATGGAAGCGTATGGGATTGGTTTCATGAGGATCAACCTGTGATCGAGAAAAAGAAGAAGCTTTTAGACTGGGAAGCAAGACTGAGAATAGCAGTTGGATTGGCTCAAGGAGTAGAGTACCTTCATCATGACTGCGTTCCTCCAATCCTTCACCGTGATATCAAATCTAGTAACGTGCTCCTCGATTCCAACATGGAATCACATTTAGGAGATTTCGGGCTTGCCAAAGTCTTAACTGAAGACTATGATACCAACACAGACTCAAACACCTGGTTTGCAGGCTCTTATGGCTACATTGCTCCAGGTACTCGTCTTCTTCTTAAGTTTCCTAGCTTTTGCATATTCACTATTTCAAAATCTAATGGTTCGAGATTGTGCTTTCCAGAGTATGCTTACTCGTTGAAGGCGACTGAGAAGAGCGATGTTTACAGTATGGGGATAGTGTTGATGGAGATTGTGTCCGGAAAAATGCCAACTGAGTCAGTGTTTGGCGCAGAGATGGATATGGTGAGATGGGTCGAGACACATCTCGAGATAGCTGGTTCTGCAAGAGAGAAGCTCATAGATCCAAAGCTTAAGCCGCTTTTGCCATTTGAAGAAGACGCAGCTTATCAGGTGCTTGAGATTGCACTTAAGTGCACAAAAACTTCTCCCCAAGAGAGACCATCTTCTAGGCAAGCGTGTGATAGCCTTCTCCATGTCTTCAACAATAGAATCGCCGGTTATAATAAGCTGTAAAAACAGATACCTGCAAATGATTTTGGAGACACTAAAACTGTAAAATTTAATATATTTCATGAGATTCTGTATTTACTTTGTATAGAGTCAGAGTTTCATCTCAATACAAAGATTGTTTCAAACTTGAACCTTTTGTTCCACAAACACTTCTAGTCTCACCTGCACAATTTCGTATGCACATCAGCTACTGCCAAGTAACAGAACCATTTGCTTTCTTATGCAACCTGAGCCAAATATAAAGAGAGAGAGGGAGAGTTTGATTTTTTGATCAAAAGAAAATGTAGTTGTGAACCGTCAAAGCATTGCAAGGTTTCTCATTCGCAATTATTAACCAGGGGTACAAACAGATTCAAGTGACTCAGATTGTGAAAACACAAATCTTTCGGTTCATAACCAAAAACAGTGAATGAAAAGAACTCCAATGCCGAAACAAAAGAGAACTTTATCTCTAATAAAAAGGAGAAGAAAAGCTTTTACAGAGAAGATCAAACAAAACAAGACAAGCACTTGAGATGACTTCAGAGGAAGATATTTCTTTTCTGAAGACTTCAGAGGTCACTCAACAATTTAATCCCGATCTTCATCTGCATAACAAACGCGAAAAGAAAGTTTGAATATTCCAAAATCTTATAAATAAAAGTTCAATATATATAAGTAAAGTACGCAATCTAACAGAACAAGCAGTGTATATCACCAAATGCCACCAGATCCTAGCAAATAGGCAATTGCCAATGGTGGTGAACAGATAGATATGTGATATGTCAGAAGTTTAATTAAGAAGGGTTTGTTAAAAGTTATCCACTTTATTGTTTAACGAAAACTTGCATCAAGCTCTAACTAAAACTGAGAAGATCTATATGTAAAACAGCTGTCATTCTCTTCAAATTCACTTCTACTTCCTCTTTGGTTACTTCCAAGTTGCAACCTATCTCTCACTCTAGAACTAAAGAAATAGTCGAAAGTATAAATCTTTCCACTCTCATTGAGACCATGTTAATAAGACCATTATGCTGCTCAGTTGAAAAACTTGCAAAAGATTAAACCATTGAGCTAAAGCAAGAAAACCCAAATCACAAAAACGAAATGATCAGCCTAAGTTTCAAGTGTTTAGCCTAAATAACACAGTGCTTGTTCCAAGAATTCCATTGCCAAAAACATGAATCAATATGCAAAATCGTATCCTTTCTTCTTCAAAGGCACAAATTCTATTTACAAACACAAAAAACTTGAAATAAAAACAAAGCAAAATTTGAGAATCTGAAAGAATAAGATATATACCAAAGTAACGACGCTCATTAGCAGCTCTGGCTTTATCAAGCATAACATCGAGATCTTCCTTAAGCTTCACGTCCCATTTCACAAGCTGGTTCGCGAACACAGCACCAAGTCCCATACCCACCACATGTTCCCACGGATCTAACAAATTTCAACATCAATTTTCACAAATTCAATACCCAAACGAAATGGGACCAACAAAAACACAAAAGCGAAATTAGGGTTGTTTGGCATTTTGTCGAATCGTGGACTTACGACGCATGTAAGGGAGTTTGCGAAGGGCGTTAGAGTACATCTGGGTACCAAGACCCAGTAAAGCTCCGACCATTGTTGCACTCAGAGGCATCGTTTCTTCTTCTTTTTTCGATCTCCTGAAAAATGTCGACGACTCTTCTCCGATCTCTCTGGTTTTATTTAGTAGAGATACTCTGGACTTAGCTTCACCGTGTAGGACCCACATACAATTCACATAATTAGTGTCTGATTGGGCCTATTAATGGGCTTTTGGTTAGCCCATACAATTCATCAATTTTTTTGTTTGTTTCTTACATAATAACCCCTTCTTACATTGA